ATGGATCCCCAGGGATCTTAGAGTCGCTTTTGGGTCCTTTAGACTGTGCAGCTTAGAGCCCGTTTGTTCTGAGAAAAGTCCCCCTCCCCCCTCAAATGGAAGGTCCTGCAATGTGGTTTGCACTTCAGGGGGAATTCCCGATACCTGCAGCCACGCATTTCTCCTCATTACAATGGCCGTAGCCATTGTTCTGGCTGCTGAGTCGGCGGAATCAAGGGCCACCTGTAAGGTCGTACAAGCCACCATTTTGCCCTCCTTGGTTAGGGCCGCAAATTCTTGGCGAGACTCCTGTGGAAGCCGGTCCTTGAATTTGTCCACGGCTGACCATGTATTAAAAAGCGTACTTTCCCAGCATGGCCTGTTGGTTAGCAATACACAGTTGTAATCCTCTGGTGGCAACAGGTCTAACTTCTTGGGCTCTTTTGCTTTGGGAGTAGGACCCGGGAGACCCTGGCACTCTCTCCGTCCTGCTGCTTGGACCTGGGTGAGGGCGTGAAAAGAGATATTTGTGGCCCACTTTGGGAACAAAATAATGCTTCTCCACACCTTTCTATGAGGGAAGAATGGAGGCAGGAGTCAGCCATAATGTTTTTGACAGTTTCTCTACTGTCCTGTTATGGGGTCAACCCTCATCGGCTCGTCCTCATGCTGATTTGCCCGTACTGATGCCGGCTCCCATTTGATAGTCTGATGGGCAAGCCCATGGGCACTTGTGTCACCTGCCTCTGTTGGTCTGGAAGTCTATGCAGTCATCAACTTATCCACCTCTGATGCGGGGGCACAGTGCTGTAGTCTGTGCATTCGGACACAGTGGTGCCGGACGGGGCGGGACATTAGCTGCTCCCAGTGCTGACCACATGGTGGATAATGGCAGCATCGTAGCCTGAGTCAACAGCGATGAGACTGGCACCGATGGTACCGGGGACGGTGCATGGCTCAGTGCCGGGGTTGAAATTGGTGCAGGGATCAGCATGAGCAGTGGGGTCGCTGTCCGTACTGCTGTTGGTGCCGGTGCCGCTGTTGGTGCTGGGTACAGTGACCCGTGTATGGTACCGGATACGTTGCCGACATCAACAGCCGAGCCGGTGTAGATAGGGACTGCACTAACCCCGGCTCCGTGCCCCGTGGTGGTGCTGAGAAGTGTCCTGGAATCCAGGGGGTAGAAGTTGCGGGACACATGCACGATGGGACACATGCAGGAACTGGGAGGATGCCACTGCTGAGGTCGGCACCAGCACTGTAGCTCCCCAGTGCGCTGTAGGAGCGACAGGTACCGGGGCATTCAGGCATTGCAGGTCCGGTACTGCAGACAGCAGCGGCTCCTGAGCGGTCATTGCTATAAGGTTGCGTGCAACATTAAAGGTTTCCGGGGTCAAAGGCCTCAGTTTTGGGAGTGGCCCTTCAGCTTCTCCTTTCAAGGAAGAGCGAGTATGGCCTGACTCCTTACGTGGCTCCTTAGGTGTCTTCACTGCTGAGTGTCCCTCCTGTGGGCGCACCTTCTGGCCCCTCCTGTCCAGGGATCTTCCTCCAGAGTCCTTCAGTTTCCTCTGTACTGGAGAGTGGGAGCGGTGCCATGAAGCGGTGCTTGTGCTTCGCAGGGCCCGTAGAGCCGTCTGGAACCGAGGAGGAAGTGCCCCGCACCGACTGAGGCTCCTCTGGTGCCAGCGGCTGCAGCGTAGACTCCATGAGGCGCCTCTTCAGTCTGGCATCTCTTTCTCTCCTAGTCCTGGGCTTGAATCCCCTACAGATTTTACAGATCTGAATGGAGTATGTCTCCCCCAAGCACCTTAGGCAGGACTTGTGGGGGTCACCACAGGGCATAGGTTTAAGGCAGGACGCACACTGCTTAAAACTGTGGGGCCCTGGCATCTCTTCCCCGGCTGAGGAGAGGTGCAGGGGATAAACAGCCCCTCTTATAATAAAACTATTTACAACAATATACTAAAAACTAACAGGAACACTAACTAATTACAAAGAAGCTAGGGGTAGACTGATTGTCTAGAATGCTCCAGCTACCGTCAAAGGCAGTAAGAAAGAACTGAAGGGGTGAGGGTCCAGCAGGTGTATATATGCCCCGATATGCCGGCGCCACTCCAGGGGGCTCCCCGTGCTGACCCTACGGATACTGCTAGGAGAAAAGGCTCCGCAACTCTGTGCACACGGCACGCGCACACCTGATTGGAACGGACATGAGCAAGCACTCCAAGAAGCACTATAAACACTCAGCAGAGTTGTGTGAGCTACACCTGTTAGGGGCAATTGCTAGCATAGGTACTAAGCACTAGACAGCAGACTCTTTACCCTAAATTCATCATTTTTAGAATGTGCAGCATGCGCCTCAAACTGTAGTTTTTATATCTGAGTTTTAACTATTAAAAATCTATTTGCATTTCAGAACATTCAACCATAACTATGTTTCCAATTCCTTTGATAGGCAATAGCAACTGTTTAAAATTATATTTTAATTGATTTTATTGCACTAACATAGCAACACAGCACTACATATTAGACACCACGTAAGCAAGTTGTTGAGTAACTGATAAGCCTAGGCTTATTGGTTAGTTGAATTTTCTACTCACATTTCCCCCTCACACCCTCACTGCCTCTCTATCTGCCTGCCTGGCTCTTACTACATTTAAAATTCAGAGCTGCAGTGGGGATAGTGCCTGGACCCGACACAAGCTGGGACTGAGCTGGGCTTGCTCAGTCCCTGGACCTACCCACACTGCGGTTCTGCAGTTTAAATGTAGTAGAAGCTGTGCTGCCTGCCCACTTGGCTCTTACTAAACTGCAGAAGTGCAGCAGAGGTAGCTCCCACACCTGGTGTGAGCTGGGACAGACTTCCTCCCTTATCAACTAATCATGTAGTCGAAAGAATTTTTATTGGCTATGCGATTAGTGGAACACCCAATTCTTAACATCCCTACATAGACATAAAAGTTCTCAGATTTACTTTGACTTTTTTTTTTCGACAGGACAGAGTGGCTTTGATTTTAAAATCTTGTCTAACAAGAAACAGCCTTTCTGAAAGTTGATTTGCTAAATTGCTTCATTCTTTGTGGCATTTCTCTGATTTCTTAAGTATGAAGACCAGGGTTCCCTAGAAGCTGCAGAGCAGCACAGCTTCACAGGTGATGAATCAGCCCCACCCAGTCAGTCAGCTCTGTGCATGGGAACACTGAGCTTCTGAAAGGGCAGGGCTGTGAAGCTGTGCTGCTGCTGAGCTTAGAGGGAACACTGACAAAGACTTATACCATATTCTGTTACTGATTATATGTTAAAAATTGGGATCATCAGTGTTATTTATTAATTATGGAAAGTTTTTCTGGTGTTACTAGTAGATGTCTAAATTCTTAGGCATTCCAATGTAATCAGAACAGTATGATTAAAACAACCCATCCACATTTTTAACACATGCACAAAGAGCCTAGTACTTACATCAAAATATGCTCCTGCATGCTCCAATATCAGCTGGGTGGAATCTGGCTTATTTTTGCAATATGTTACATACATTTGGAACTTGTCTGCCTGCAGAACAAAATGCAAATTTAAACAGCTTATCAAAGAGCATTTCTACTGCCTGAAACCAGTCAAACTACTGGGATTCTTTTCTAAGTCATCCCAACATTGTGAGAAAATACCCAGCATAGAGCGCTGGGTAGATACAAAATTTGTATCCACATCCAATTAACTTTCTGCAAACATGGTCAATGGCTATCCAGGATGGCTCTTTAAACATATTACAATCAAAATAATAACAAGGAATGAGAAAGTTGATTTAGAGCTCTGATCTGCCCTCAGGTGAATGCATATAAATCAAACTCATTTCAATGGGAGTCATATTCTTGCATTTGTTGGCAGACATTGGTTTTTTGAAGTCAATAGTTTGTTTCCTCCAAGAAGAAGAAAGACTACACAAAGCAAAAGCCTCCATCTCCTTCTGCTTTCAATTTCATTCATTACTTCTATCACCAACCATGATTTCATTACCCAAGTTACAAAGCAGTGTCCAACATCTTCTGGTAACTGTTCGTATTTCTCCAACTCCTTTAAGAATATGCTATGGGGAGAGAGAAAAAAGGAAACAATGCTATTCAAAGGAACATGGCATGTTTTCATTAGGACAGCTAACATTTATTTCGAGTTCAAGCAGATATATTGTTACGGAATTTTCATACAAGCAGCACACTGGCAACTGGATCACGATACTATCAATGGATGAGAATTTGGGTTGCCAAGACACGATAAATAAATATCACATTTCAAACAATAGATTTTAAATGGTGGGTGATAATACAGCAGTAAAAAGCTCAATACAACAGTGTTTATTTACTGATTGCA